GCTGTACACCTTGGTGTGGTCTCGCGTCAGAAGCACGAGAATATCGTTGGCGACGTACGTGAGCCACGTGGCCTCACCGGTCACGACAATGGCTTCCAACCAGCTCCGAGGCGTCGCCACGAACCGCGATGCGCCAGAGGAAGATGTCTCAAGCGATGCGTTGGCCGAGCTCAGCAGCAAGATGGCCGACGCGCCTCGTAGAAAAGCCAGCGGTCGACCGATCCAGACAGCCCCCACAATCCGGTTGAAGAAGAAGAGGTTCAAACCGTTGAACCGCAGCCGGGTCTTGACCGCATACATTAGTGCTATCCCACCAACGCCCACAAGAATCACCGAGGTGGCGACCACAAGGTAGTAGAGAATCTGGGTCGCAGACTGCAGCGGCTGCGTCCCCGTCGTGTACAGCTGTGGACTATAGACATTCGACATCAAGGTGAGATTGCCACTGTCTCCTTGAAACGACACGACTTCGCGGTTGCCGAGGACCCAGTCAAAGAGAAAGACGTAGCCAAAGAACGCAAACGAGGGCTCGAGCAGAGGTTGTTGGAGGACGACCCACGAGCCATTGGCTGCAGTAGCGTACTGCATCAAGCCAATGTTTAGCCCAATCTCATTTGCAACCGAGGTATTCCAGTCCAGCGCAAAAGACTCCAAGAGCTGGTCCGCAGCTGTGACGGCAGCAACACAAGCTGTCGCCGGGGACGTCACAGCGCAAACATCGGGAATTGCGGCGTTGTTGTTGACGGCGCGGGCGAGGACGAGCAGCAACGGATCCAACGTCAGCGTCAGTGGCTTGGCCTTGGCGCAATCGTCGAAAAAATCAAACGACTGCTGGACGTACGCTGTGCGCGGTAGCAGTGTGCACATGGGGTTCCCGCCGTAGAACGCATCGTTGGCGCGCCACGTTAATGGCGTCAAGCTCAGAGCTGCTGTGGGCAGCGCTTTACGGATACCATCGACGCCACCAAACGAGGCCAGAAGAAGCGCGCGCGCCGCCAAGTACGCTTGCGTGAGCGACGTAGGGACACTCGGGTACAGGCAGTCGACACTCAAGAAGGGTCCAACGACGGTCCGAAAGAGCTTGGTTTGGTTGAAGAACTGACCGGAGACCTTGGTGATGCCGTGAATGACCTCGAGGTCCCGTGGCGGCAAGGTCGCCGAGAGGTTCGTGGCGTAGTAGCGCGACGAGCCGTGCACGAAACTGCGGTTCATGTACTTGCCGAGGGTGAGGTCGTTCAGCGGCATCCAATATAGCGCAAATGTCGTCCAGGGTCCCGTTCCCTGGGGGAAGTTCTTGATCGTCACAAACTGCGTCAGTCCGAGCGCGTTTTGGAGCGCGACCGACTCGGTGATCCCACTCTGCCACCGGTTCTGCCACTGCAGCTGAAACCGGTTGAGCTTGTAGCTCCGCCAGTACGCGAGCTCGTCGAGAACAGTGGTCGTCGCGCGCGCCTGCGACACAATGTCCAAGAAGCGCTGCCCGGGCGCCGTCTCTTGCAGTGCCAGCCCATATGTGACCGCGAATCGGCTGTTGACACCGCCCCACATCGCCATGTAGTCGGCCCACACCACATTGCGCAAAATAGCTTCGAGGTACACGGCGCCGTTGGTCGCAAACTGGTCCTTGCAGCGCTGTTGACGGCCTTCAGTGTGCGCAATCTCAAACGTCTGGTTAAAGTCGAGCCAGCAGTGCTGCACGTTCATGCGCATCGACCACGCGACCGACACGGCCCGCAGCTGCGGCACGGCGTACTCGATCGACGTGAGCTCGGTCAAGATGACGCGGCGGGCGTACGTGGGCGACACGTTCGTGGTGGCCGTTGACGCGTTGTACAGCTTGTACATGGTCGCGTCGGCCGCGTAGATACTGAGGGCCGACGTCGCGGTGAGTCCCAATTGGGCGTTGACAAGGTCGATGAGGAACGCTTCGCCGCC